CATACACACATACACACATACACACATACATACATAATACATACATACATGTTGTATTTGTGCTGATAAATAAATAAAGGGACACTAGTATAGATCTATTTCAAGCTATTTAGCTCTCATCAGCTAGCCATACCCTTACTGGGAATCGAGCCTGTGCTGTATTACATATTAGGCAGAAGTATTAACCACTAAGCCATAGGCTGTCCTCCGTTATCAGCTGAGCCAGGAAGAAAGGTATATATTTAAAGTCACAACCCCTGGTATGCCCAAATATGGGAGGAAGTAGTGAACTGTCATCATAACTCAATCTTCATATGACTATAATTGTTTTTATGTCCCTTTATATAAAATATTCCAAAATTTAAAGCAAAACCACATTATTGCTAGATTCTTGATTATGCATTCTTCACACTTTCTTTTTGTTTTATGTAACTTAGTATCTTACCATTTTGTATGCAATCCCACCTGACATTGTATCTTCCCCAAACACGAATAATACACTTAAAAACAATCTTTAGTAAAAAAAAAAAACTCTGTTTAATAAGATGGTTCATAAATAGCAACATTATCTTAGATATATATTGTATGCCTGTGTGTGTATGAATATGTATATAATTTGTTAAAAATAAATTGATCTTGAAATATATTTTGATACTCAATTCTTGAATATTTTCACTTCACTAAAGCATGTCAACAAATGTAAACTGACCAATAATTCAAAGTCAAAATAATATGTGCAAATTCTTTCAAAAACTTTAATGGAAAACAGAACACATTTTCCCAATAATTGATGCAATAATGTTTAACCTAATATGTATAATTGGGTCAAAAAGTAGTTGTGTTTCAAAGAGAACTTCAATTAAAATACCATATTTTTCGGAGTATAAGATGCACCATTTTCCCTTTTAAAAGGCTGAAAATCTGGGTGCATCTTATACACTGAATACAGCATTTTTGCCTCCTGAAACCCTACCCATTTCACCAAAATGGCCATGCCTTGGTTTTAGGAGGCTTTCACAGAGCTCCTGGGGCTGGGGAGGGCAGAAATGCCCTCCCTGTTTTTTGCTCAATTTTGCCCCCCCCCCCAAATTCCCAGGAGCACTCTATAAGCCTCCTAAAGGCTATTCATGCCTCATTGACAAAAAACGGGCCCATTTTTGCAAAAAATGGGCCATTTTTGGGAGGTTTGCAGAGTGCAAAAACTTTTTTTTAATGTGCCTCTTTAAAACCTTGGTCCGCCTTATACTCTGAAAAATATGGTGCCACTTTATAATGCCTTGATAAGGCCACACTTGGAATACTGGATTCAATTTTGGTCACCATGATGTAAAAAAAGATGTTCAGATTCTACAAAGAATACCGACAAAGATAATTAGGCAGTAGTGGGATTCAAATAATTTAACAATGGGTTCTCTGCCCTAATGATTTCTTTCAACAACCACTTCACCAAACTGCTCAGAAAGTTAACAATTGGTTCTCCCGAAGTGGTGCGAACTGGCTGAATCCCACCACTGTTTTAGGGGACTGGAGGCTAAAACATATGAAGAACGGTTGCTGGAACTGGATATGTCTAGTTTAATGAAAAGAAGGACTAGGGGAGACATGACAGCAGTGTTCCAATATCTCAGGGGTTGCCACAAAGAAGAGAAAGTCAAACTATTCTCCAAGGCATCTGAGGGTAGAACAAAAAGCAATGGGTGGAAACTAATCAAGAAGAGAAGCAACTTGGAACTAAGGAGAAATTTCCTGACAGAACAATTAATCACTGGAACAACTTGCCTTCAGCAATTGTAAAAACTCCAACATAGGAAGCTTTTAAGAAGAGATAGAATAATGATATTTCTGAAATGATATAGGGTTTCCTGCCTGAACAGGGGTTGAACTAGAAGACCTCCAAGGCCCTTCCAACTCTGTTATTCTATTCCATTCTATTCTATTCTAAAGTACCGTAATCAGAATACAGAACAAGTCCAGAACAATCTCAGAGGGCATCTGCTCAAGTCCTAGCAACCAGTGATCACGAAATACATATCCACAAAAACACTACTGTGACTATTTTTAAAAGATAATCAAACAGGGTGGCTTTAAAAGAACTCATTTCACAGTATTATCCTTGCTAGAGCAGAAATAAAGGATGTTTTATTTTGTTCCATTAATAATCAATAATGATCATCAAAAGTAAAAACTCTAAGAATCATTAGGTAATATGAGGAATCTTTACATCATAAAAGTATACTGTGCATTTTTGTTAGCTTTCCTCTAAATTGGTGTTATTAGCCTTTTCTGGCATTCAACTGCAATTTCTTTTTATTATAGCATTGATTACCCTTTGTTTTAATTGCTGTAGTTTATAAATTTCATTATGGACTATTATACTATTTTATGCTGTTTACTCTATTGGATGTTATTCTCGTAAGCAACCAGGGGAAAGTTATTGTTTTTAAAAAAATGTTCTTGAAATATTTTAAGTAAAGAAGTGACAGAGGACACTTTAGAATGCAGGAACTATTCACAAACTTTGCTGTAGCACTTCTCATGTGCTTGGCTATCTGTTACTCGCCTAAGGCTGCAACACTGTGTACAGAGGACAAAAACACCTGATTTTGATTGGAAGCTGCCCAGAGTTTGGAATAAGATGAGAAACTACACAAATGCTTTAAATAAAATGCAGGTATTTCTCAACTTATAACAATTCATTTAGTGACCATTCAAAGTTACAACGGCAGTGACTTACGACCATTTTTTACGACCGTTATACCATCCCCATGGTCATTTTGGATGCTTGGCAACTGGTTCATATTTATGATGGTTGGAGTATCCTGGGGTTATGGGATCCTCTTTTATGACTTCTGATGAGCAAAGGCAATCATTTGTGGTGTACTATGATGTGCTCTCCCATGAGTGATTTGAATATTATCTGCATGACATAAAGGCATTACAGAAATGTCAACATACTGCTGATCATAAAGCCTGGGAGCTTTACCTTTCTAAATCTTGAATGTGTTGTTTTAAAAGTCAATGTGGAAGTTACTAACTTAAATTAGGGAAGTTAACAACTAAGTTACTTGCTGCTGTAACTGGAATGATTCGTTTAACAATTGTGGCAAGAAAAATCGTAAAGTGGGGCAAAACTGACTTAATGAATGTCTTCTTTAACAACATAAATTTTGAGCTCAGTTATGGTCATAAGTTGACGACTACCTGTATATAAAAAAACAAAAAATATTTTCTTACTACTGAAATTATATAGAGCCTTAAGTGATTGGCAGCAGGGCTCTGTAGAAATTAGACATAAACTGAATTGAACTGAGCAATGTCTTTAATTATGCTTCTTCATTTTAATAAATCTTGAGTTTAAAAAATGGTTTAAAGTACTTCCTCCTTTTGTGACACAAATGAATATGTTACTTCCAAAGAACTGTGGAAATGATTCTAAACCACAAAGGTTTTTACAGCACAAAGGGAGATAAACTTTGCAAGTGGGCTGCTCAAAGGAAATCCTCTGAAGTTATGATCAGCTGGAAGTTACAGTGGCTTTAATTTGTTTGAAGCAGATCATTTTTGTGGGGAAATAGTACTGGCAGAAATTCAGGGAACCACGGCAAGATAGCGAAGAGATTTAAAAAAATATTGTAATACCTTGCTGCTCTCCAGTGGCTATGTGGATTTTTGCAGGCCACATCTGATAGTGTATAGAATCTAAAATTTCTGTCAGCTTTCTCCATCCTAATACTATCCTAATACTGTACAATGAATTATAAATCCCATTGCTAGCTACAATTTCTGTATTAATGGGAACACAAATCCTCCACAGCAAGATAATACAGAATTAGGAAAGAATGGCTTAGTAGATTTGTACCTTTGAGGCCCAGGCTAGCAGCCAAATAATCATATGGCCAGTTTTTCTACCTTCCAGCTAAACAGAATCTGACTATTTCAATGATTTGCATTATTCTGATTCACCAGCATATAGATTATTGCTTTCTTCATTAGAGTTGGATTCTGTATTCTTCCCCAGCCTCTGCATATTATTTTGTTTGTATGCCCCTGTTGTGTTTAAGCGTTAAACTACAAAATTGATTTATTAATAATAAATAAATCTTGATGCTATAATATAATTGATTAAGCCCAAAGAAATGTGTATTTAGAAAGTAGATCAGAAAACTTGCAGCCACACATGGAGACAAAAAAGGTAAGAGGCAAAGTAATTTGCCTGGCTATTTATTTATTTATTCCTGGCTATTTTCTCCAAATTCGGAGCCAAAACATAAATTTACTCCTCGTAATTCATGGTTAAATAAAGAATTTCTTTATGAAAATTTGCTTGTGCGTTGACCAGATGAAAAAGATTTAAAAAGCTCGTCTCTTCTTCATCATGTTCTCCTAAGTAAAATTAAAAAAAAAAAAAAAACAGGTTAAACAATACATATTTTTATTTGACATAAAGATGTTGGTTAGCTTGTAAAATGCCAAGCTAACAGATAACATTTTATTTCATCAAATATATGTCATCAATAAATTACCAGGAGTCATGCTTGACTCAAGAGAACTTTTACCTTATGTATGAATGACTTGTAATTAAACATGTATCATATTTACTTCTTTTGGAAGCATTTTTAAAAATTAGTTATGATCGGATTCCATTTGTTTAGACTACATTGGCTGCATTTATTGTAAATACATGATTTGTTATATAGGGTAATAACCCATGTAATACATCATATGCTCATAGTAATTTTTGAGTAGTCACATTATTTCTCATTTCTAAATTTTATAAGGACATGTAGGACATACTTCAACCATACGAATATTCATCAGAATTAATCAGAAATAAAGCAATAGCACTTAGACTCATATGCGGCTTCCCAGTGCTCCTCTCTAAGCGGTCCCCACAATCTGGTTCCTCATTTGACCAACCTTGGAAGGATGGAAGGCTGAGTCAACTTTGAGCCAGTGAGACTCAGACTGCTAAACTGCTGGCAGTCAGCAGTCAGCAGACACAGCCTGCAGTACTGCAAATAACCACTAAACCACCATATATATCTAAAAATATATAAAGTCTGGATTTTTTTAGAGAAATTCTGATTGACACTTCCAGAAATCCAGTTTTAATGTTATATTCTCACTGAAATTCTAATATTCAAAAATATGCATACTGTTCAGTGCAGTCGTGCATGTATTTTAAAAAGAAAATATAAGAAAGAAAATCTGTCCTGGAAGGAAACTGCACAGATCAAAGACACAACATTTTAGTAATTGTATTATGGCCAAATTATGTGAAAATATATAATGGAAATTCAGCTTAAAAAAGAAAATGTAATGAGCTTCTAGGCTATTGGCTCAGATGGCAGCCTCTTTCTTATGGCAGTGGGTTGTGGTTTTTTTGAGAGGCTCATAATACATGGAGAAAGAGTTAAACCAGTGCTCTCCAAACCTTTTCTTATCTGAAAGTCCTTTTTATTCAGTGTAGATAAAATACTTTAAGTCAGTTTAAATGTCCCTGTTGACATTGAGTAATGGGTTCATGTTCTGTTATCCAAAGGAAAATAACTTTTACCCAATTTGGGGTAATTTACCCAGATTTGGGAAGTAGTGGATTGAACCTTTACTGTACTCATCTTTCAGTGTGGTTGTAATCCTAACCCCTTTTACCCATAAGATCTATTCTTCCTAAAAGTGAAGTAATTATATTTATTGTTACATAAATATAATTGACTATTGGTGTGTGTGTGTGTGTTTGTACAGTCTTCACACACACACACACACACACACACTGCTTAGAAGATTCAGATGATCAAGATTAAGGTGTGATTATAGTAAGGTAAGTAGTATAATTGGATTTCTTACCAGATATCACCAACTGCAGAGCATCCATGATCATTTGTGCAAAGGCATTCTCTATACTCTGCAAAAAAACATTCTTTTCGGTTGTAGAACTGAAGACATTACAGACTTTCTGCATCATTTTTACAGACCAGCCCATGCAATAGAGGTCCTTCTCGCATACCTAGTAGAAAAGAAATTTGAAAAAAGTGATATGTCCTTGATGATTAAAAAAAAACCCCAATCCTTTGTTCCTATCATGTGCTTTTCAATCCGAAGTAATTCCATGGAAGTTTTGGATTGAAACACACACACATAAATACACATATGTAAATATAGTAATAGAAGCTTTCATAGGGCTTAATTTTTTAAATTGTAGTTTTCTTGCTTTCTGGTGATTTGACCTTTCTTTGCTTGGGTTTTTTTTTTTTTTTGACACAACATAATTTAAACTAGATCAAGTGGTACATCCTTGCTGTTTAAGGATTCTCTGTGTTTCATCTTGATTCTGTCTATATGGCTTTCCAAATAGAGTCACAACAGAGGCTTTCCTGATAGTTGAGCACTCCTTCCTATCAAATACTATTATAATTGCCACCTGGGAAGCACAATTTTCAGATAGTTCTAAACCAGTGGCATTTTATCCATATATAAATTGGAAGAGTTAGCTTCTGCCACTTCCTGGGCTTTCATTATAGCATGGTGGTAGCATGCTTAGGAAAAGAAAGCCTGACTTCTGGAATAACAGCATTAACAGTTTAGAAGACACTAAATATTTGGAGACATGGAGAGCTGAGAATTATTCTTAGTGGAGTTGTGGAGAAAAATGGGAGGAGTGTATGCTACCTTGAGCTTCTAAGGAAAAACAGTGTGCAAGCTAACATAACAGTTAACAGGTAACAGTAACATATTTTATTATTTCTGTCTCTGGTAAAATGGGGGAGGGATGTGAGGTCAGATACAGACTTAGGGTAATGGGAAAAGGCACAGTTACTGATGCTGATTGGCTGATAGTTCTTTGTGTTTGGCTATTGGTCTAAAGTGGCAAATGCTGATTGACTTGAGGTGTTTTCTGAGAACTATAGACTGAGAGGCAAACATATAAGTGTACTGTGTCATAGCATCCTCCTGCCCAAATATATCTGATGAAAATTACATATGTTAGCATTGGATGGATTGGGGGAGACATGTAGCAAACAGTGCCTATTGATTGATTATGTGCTATCAAGCCAGTGTTGACTATTAGTGACCACATAGACAGATTTTTCCCCCCAAGATGATCTGTCCCTAAACTGGCCTTTCATGTCTTCCAAAATGCACTCATCACAAAGTGCCAGCTTTCAAAAAAAAATTGTCACCCCAGTATCTGAAACAAATCAGCTTAACTTCCAAAACCAGTAGGTATCAGAGGGTCAGGCAAATTCTGGAGATGACTTTGAATTGGTGCAAAAAAAAAAAAAAAACCTTCACAGAAAAATTCTCTCAGCTGGTACAGTTTCTAATTAATATACACATAAAGAGCTTAAGTTAAAACATTTCTCTTTTCCTGTACAGTAATTAAAGACATAGGATTCCTGCAGTCCTCCCACATGGCTTACAACCTGAGAAAAATCAAGAAGATGGCCATGTAATCTGTATCAATGCATGATGCTAATATTAATTATATTTTAAAGTGCTCTGATAAATATAATGCAGCCAAACAAGGACATTTTGACACATCTGATGCCTTGAGTTAGATATACTGGTCCTGCCTGCCTGTCCACTAATTACATCAGGCCAAGAAGTTAGATAAGCATGGCAAAATCCCAGATGCCCCATTCCTTCAAGGACAGTTATAATGAAAGTTTAATGAAAATGCTTTCCCTGTTCACATATAAAGTGACATTATACAAGTAGCAACAAAAGAATTTCATTTAGGCACAGGCTGCCATAGAAACACTCTAAAGCAGCGTAATTAGTTTGAAGTATTTTCAGACATATATTAATTCATCTCTTTTAAAATGTTATTTTGGTTAGTTAATTTTAGTGAATTGTATGAAACTGCTAAAAAAGAACCGGTATCTAAGGGCCAAATTAAATAAGACATCAAATGTGTCATTGTGCCGAACACATTTAAGGCTTTAATCATGTTTAAAGAACACTGGGGAGAGGAGATTCAAATAAAAGTACACGAGAATTTAAATCTTGATTAAAAATTATTTCACTCAAAAGAGTTATTGGCTCTGGAACTAAACTTATTGAAAATGGCAGTTTTCGCTACATGCCAAATTATAGTTCTCCCCCAACGGAGATGGAAGATTTTCATTTAAATTGTGTGGAGCAAAGAAAAGAAACTAAAATAGAAAAGAAAGAAAAAGAGTCGGGTTCTAAACATTGTTTTCTCATCATTCTTTTCATTCATAGCAGGTACTCTTTCACAGAAATGTGCAAGATACATTAAATGCAGACACTTAGTTTGAGTGCATGTGGCCCATTCATAAGTCATAACACAGAGAAGAGAGTAGTACACAGAGAGGGGAAAATATCTATCAATTACCAATGCCAGGAATACCACCAGCCTTGCCAATTCAATAGCTCGACCATCCACAGCTTTACTAGCCATAAATGGGAAGCAGATGTTGTTTCCGCACAAAATAAGAAAACGAGCGCTGTTTTCAAGATGCCATTCCTGAGGGATTACTGTAAAAATAGAAAAAAAAATATTTTATATATATTTATATACATAAATGTCGCAGCACATGTAGTATTCACACATGCATGTTTAACTTTTAACTTTAATTTTTCTTACATTTGAAAATATTATTTAAAATGAGGAAAAATAACAATAATTTATCTAATCCACAAGACAAGCAAAAAATATTCAACAATATAAACTACTTTGGATTTTTATAGGAGTCAGTAATAAAACTATGGTATTTTTAACATTTAGCTTGTGTGCTTTTCAGTGGATAATGCAATGAGCAAGAGTACTTAGGAGTATGAAAGATCCACCATTTGCTCTTTAAAACCAGGTCTCTCAGGGTTTATTAAAGTGGCTGGAAGGTGACAGATGAAGAGTTCCAGTGGTGGTTAATTCTTCTTTGAGTGAGGGGTTGTCTTTTATTTCTTAAGAAGGCCTAGGTTTACCCCTTCCTATAGACCTCACCTTACTGGACAATTTATTTCCATTATCTAACCTTCCCTTTCAGGGGAAAGTGATCAAAACATTGCTTACACAACACCTTCAGAGGACCATATATGAAGCGGATTATCTGAATCCTTTTCAATCAAGTTTCGGACCTGGGTATGGGATGCAAATGGCATCGGTCACACTTTTGCATGACCACTGCCAAGGGTGGGATGGGTTTGTGCATCCAGCTTGTCTTACTTGACCTCTCAGTGATTTTTAATACTATCAACCACGGGGTTCCACTGGAAAGAGCCAGAGGATTGGGGGAGAGTGGCACAGGGTTATGCTGGTTTCCCCACTTTCTCTGGGATCAATCCCTGTCAGTGATGATTGGGGAGATTGGGGAGGGAGGGGAAGGAGGGGAGGGCCCACCCTTAGCCTCTACTTTCTACTTTGTGGGCGGCTGTAGGGTTCTCTTCTATTTATCATCTACAAGACACTGCTAAGTGAGTTCATAATCCCTTGTCATTGGATGAGGCATCAGTACTCTGACAATACTCAGTCTCTACCTCTGGCGAATTATGCAGTTCTGTAAATCCCAGGAGGCTGTGAGGATCTGCATAGGAAATAACAGGCTTCAGCTAAACCCAGGCAAGACTGAGTGGCTTTGGATTTTTTTGGGGGGTGGGGGTGGGGCTACTGGTTCTCAGTCTTCCCATCTTTAATGCTGGATGGGGTTGCACTTCTCCAGACAGCCCAATGTGTAATCGGAGGATCCTCCTTAACTCATGACTCCTGCTCAAAGAGCTTCCTGTTTGCACCTGTTTCTAGATTGGAAGGCTCTGCTGACAGTCACCCATCCTAATCACCCCCAGACTGGATTACTGTAACATACTCTATATGAAGCTGCCCTTGAAGAATATCCAGAAGCGTAATTGGTGCAGAATGAAGGACAGAACATATCATACCTTGGCTCCATGAGCTGTATTGGCTGCCAGTTTGCTCCTGGATCTAATTCAAGATAGGTTTTAACCTTTGAAGCCCTTCATAGCATGGGGGCAGATATGCTGATTAAACCAGTGTCCCATAAGATCTGGCATAGAGGACATTTGATGCGTCCCAGGAGGCGGGTCTTCTCTTTTGTGGCACCAGCCTTATGGAACATTTCCCCACCCCTCCCTCCAAGCAAGGTTAGCTCCATTCCGGTTAATCTTCTGGAAAATCACAGTCACTGTCATGTGATCATCTCACTTAACAACAGAACTGCTAGTCCCAGTTGTGATCGATACACAAAGACTTGATGGTATCTTGGATTCAAGTGTGCAAACAAACCTGCAAGCTCATCTACCAGACTGACAATATCATTCGCCAGCCATTCATCTTTTTCTGTGTCATATAATAGTTTAACAGCATCTGCCAGCTCTTTCAAATTGTTTTCATCTGTTGGGCCTTGAATCATATTCCGCCAATCAACATTTCCTGAATGATATTAAGGAAAAAAAGTTATTGAAGGAGAATTTGTCTTGAGATATCAATTAGCCGTACTATTTCTTGAAGTTTAAAGAAAGACAATTCTAGATTCAGCAATTAATAATTGCTATTTTGCTAGAAAATCATTAGCAGGATTACAACTGATTTTCTTCATGCTTAATATGCTACTTCCTTTCCTGTTTTCCAACTCTTATCTGAATACTTCTACGTTTTATTAATTAAAATAGCTTACCATCCTCTGTAGATGCAGGCCCAAACATTAGATACAGCAGACGAGCTTGAATTACTGATGGCCATGGCTTTAAAATACAGGTCAGCCAAAATACTGAATCACTCTGAAGAATCCAATGTTTTAGAAGTACACCACGGCAAAATGTCCTTATTCTCAATTCCAATTTACGGAAACGTCCTAAACAAATTAATAACATTTATTCATTAGTTTGCATTTAGAGTTTTTTTAATGTTAAACCCAGAGGTGGGTTGCTGCTGGTTCGGCCTGGATCGGCCAAATCGGTAGTAGCAGCGGCAGGAGGCTCTGCCTACCCACCCAGATGCTTCTGCGCATGCGCAGAAGTGTTGCGTGCATGGGTGAGAGCGTGCCCAAACCAGTAGTTACAAAATTTGTAACTCATCACTGGTTCACACCTGTATATTGTGTGAAAAATAATTATTTTGGATGGCACTTTTGCAAGTTTTAAGTCAGTAGTCATTATTGCTTTCACAATTATTAAGGTGTCACAAGATACAGAAGTCCATATTTATAACATGCTCACAACATAGATTATTTACCAGGCTTGCTGCTGACAACTCTCTGAATTCTCTGAGGTAAACTGGTGACATCACAAAGAAAATTGAAAACTCGTTCACATTCATCTTCATCCCAACCAGCTGTTACGGTCTGAAAACATATATAATAAGCCAACAGAAATATAAAAAAACAATATTTAGAGTTTGAAGACTTAACACATGATACAACTGTTTTATTTATCCTTTTTGTAATGTGAAATTTAATAAAAGTTGCAAGTGACAAAGTGTAGAACATGATTTATCTTGGGAAACAGATAAATACTGTATACTCCAAATAATAAGTCCTGCAATGTCTTTACCCAATTTTGAACAGAATGGAATTTTAGAATGTATAATTATATAATAAAGTTTATACAGCAAGCAGTAATGGACTCTAAGGTACACAATCGTATGCCATAATAAATATATTTATTTTTAAAGCATTACAAAACTCTCTATTGCTTTTACCTGTAAAAATACTCCATAACATTGTAATCCCAAACAATGCAAAGGATCCGCACAGCCATAGAATTGGAAACAGGGAATCTATAAAAAAGCAGTAGAAAAAAGGTATCCTTCAATTTATTTCAATGGGATATAGAAATGAACAGATCCAATATTTCTTGAAAAACATCTGTGCTTACTTCTAAAAACCTTTTATATATGTACTTCAGTCTCTCTTTTGTAGGGAGCAGTAAAGTGCACCTTTTAAATAATAAGCCTAGAAAGAAAGAAAAAACAGAAAAAACATACAGAGATGTTTTAAAAAATGTTTTTTGTGAAGATGCTTTTCAAAACCTATAAACTATATTGAGTTAAGGACCAGGAGCCATAGGGACATTAGTTATTTATTGCAATTATTTATTTATTCTAAGACCCATATCGTCTTTTTTTCATTCCTATACTATAGTTTGCATAGCTATAATACTTCTGCTTTCCATAGAGCAATATCAAACAGCTAACTCTCTTCCTCTTTCAACCAACAAAATTCCATGGTGTTTAAAAGAGGAAAGTAAGCATATATATGATATCAATCTAGCCTTGTTTATGATTGGCAATTTCCATGGTCTGTTTCATTGAAATCAGGGAAGTGAGTAATTTAGATGGGAGGATGGGACGGAGATGCCATTGGTTATTCATTAACTGATCAGCATCCTGTAAATATTAACTCACCCACCATGTGGATAATATATTTTGTTGGCCTGCTGAAAAACATGAGGGCTAGTGTTGAAAATGGAGAATATAAATCATTATGCCAACAAGATATCATATGGATACAGTGAAGACTGGGTTTTGTCAAAGTTTGGTTTTGTGGAAAGGCTCAGAGTGAAAGAACTGCCGCTGCAGATAAATGAAAAGAGAAGCAGCGGGAGCATGGCAAGAAAACAGTAGACATAGAAAGAATAATTTGCATGGAACAGAAGAAGAAAAAGAAGCTATAGTAACTGGGAACTGATGAAGCCTGGCAAAAATGCTGAAAACAACCAGAAAGATATGTTGACATGATCATAATAATGTATGGAAAGTTTACTTGGCAAAGGCTCCATAAATTTTGTAAAGCAATACATTTTTCAGATTTCTAATTCCCATTAGAAATGGGAAATGTGTATGCGCATGCTCTCTCTCTCTCTCACACTCTCTCTCTCTCTCTCTCTCACACACACACACACACAAACACACACACCCTTAAAACAGGAGCGTTGCAGGGGAGAAGTTTACTCTCCTGCTATATTTAACTACTGCAGTTCCCTTTTCCTGTTCTGTTTGCCCTACAATAGAATTACAATAGAATTCAGACATAAATTTGAAACGATAAATATACATTTAAAATTTCACAGGGGGAAAGAGCACTGAGAGTATTACAGAAAAAAACGGAGAAATGGGAAGATATGGTTAATTTTCTCACTGTTTCACCCACACTATCGGTAATGTTTTCAAACTTCAAACCTACTGATCATTAAAAATATCAGTTCCTAATAATACAAATGTAAAGAACCCCCCCCCCACTGAGCAGTTGTGAGAAATTTCAGTTCCTTTCTTGTTATAAATGTATTTTCTAAGAAATTATTTCTTATATTTATGATCAAGTTATTTTTATTCACTATATTAATCTAGACACTGATTTGACATGCACAAGAATTTACTACAATGAAACATTTTTCCTATCCTGCAATATTCTTGTTAATTGAAAGGATGCAATTTGAAGCTTAGTATTCTTCAATTAGCTGAGATTTATACATCAATATGTTTTTCTATCTGCTTCCTGTTTTGGAATATCTGAAAAGGATGAGGCTTTGATCACCTAATGAACTGTAGTGTTGCAGAATGGAGGACTTTGCAGAGTCAGATTGGTCTTGGTTATGGAAATCCTGTGGAAAAAATTTCCTATTTCCAGAAGGAGTTGAGATGTAATTAATAATACGATCTCTGATAATCTTTGAAACCATGCTCATCATACTGATATCTTTCACTGAATAAAGAAGAAAAAGAAAAGGAATTGTTAGGTTTTATTCACTTGGTGGTTCTTTTCTTTCATTCATCAGATCAGACAAATTTGGGACTACTCTTAAGCCAAGATAGGCACATAGTGATACAAATTATTATGTATGTATGATCTTTTCAAATGACATATATAGGAATCCACAATTTTTTTCAAAATGTTAAATCCTGTGTGAATAACAAAATCTTTTGTTTTTGATATTCCCATGAGTTTTCAAGTAAGATTTTTAATGAGCCATACTTATAAAAAAAGACAGGGGCCAATATAAAAAACTAAATTAATGTAATCAAATTAATTGCATGTAAAATAAAATTACAAAACAATTAAAATTCACCAAGCAAACTGCCTCTCCCAAGCCAAGTCTTCAAATGCATCCGAGCTTTGTATTATCTACAATTTGATGTTTGTTTATTTTAACAGTTTCCTGCATTATCATCTTGGGAACCACTGCTCTAAGAAAACCCTGAGGAAATTGGTTAAGAAAACTCATATTACCATAAATGGATTTTCACACTCCATCCCTCTGTGATTCCACATTGTCTTTTTTGATGGACAGTTGAGCCAATTTAATTCTGTCTAATTAACAAGTAAAACAGCTTTGAAGACAATTTTCAAGTAGTGGGACTAGAATTTAGCAATCGAAGACTGGCTGTGATATGAAGAAATCTGAACTGGCACCAAGTTATTTTCAAAGATCTAGGAATTGAAATTATGTTGACATGTACACAAAGATCCCTAACTGAGTCAATTGGTGGTTTTGGAATTCATACAGTTGCAAGATATTGCTTTCTGTCTCCTCTCACATTATAGCTTAAGTACTTTCTCCATGTTATCACATGGTCAAAAGCTTATTTTTAAGGCTGTGCAGTACTTGGGATTGAAAGAGTTCTAGGAAGCAATCTCTGGAGATTGAATCCAAGAGCTGCACAGCCCTACTTATTTTTCTTTCAGAAATTCATTTAGATTTAAAACAGGTTAGTAATTCTTTGTTTGGTGTGAATTTTAGTTGCTGAACTTCTTAAGACAAACGCAAACAACTGATGTACCTAAAAAGGGAATAATTCAGGAAGAAAATGAATGTGTACAAATATATTTACAATCAGTAATGGGTGCGTGGAGTGATTTCAGCCTTTGTGTGTGCTGAAAAATACAGGACATCAGTGTCAGTACTGATAATAATGTAATTTTGCCTCTTTTTCAATCCTCCAGGAAATCTTATTTTTTAAGAACATGTTTTAAAACATTTAATGCCATATATTTTGAAGGAATAATTTTACGTGGCACGACAGGCAATGGCACTCATTGCCCTGGGAGCATGTAGTGCATCCTATTTTTCTAACTGGTTCCAATGGGACTGAAAATAAATACATCAACTTTAAGTATAAGAATGCTCTGAAGAACTTTGAATATAATGATTCTCTAAAGCAGGAGTGTCAAACTCAATTTCATTGAGGGCTGCATCAGGGCTTTGTTTGACCTCAGGAGGCCAGGGTAGGCCTGGCTAGGGTGGGCATGGCCAGCTGGACGTCGCTTGTGTTGGAGGTGCCTGTGGAAGCTCTAGTGCTCTGCCAGCAAAAATGAGCTTCTGAGCTCCATTTTTGGCTGCAATAGCCTCCTGCAACTCTCTGCCAGTAAAAAAGGAGCTCAGGGGGGCTATCTTGCATCTCCTGTTACGTACAGATGTACGTTGTTAAATTTGTATGTTTTCACATGCTTACTGGGGATTGGTTGCCCAAACCCTGGGAAGTTTAAACAACTGTCATTGGCCAGCTTGTCTGCCAGAGCTCCTTAAAAGATGAGCTCCAGCACTCCAGCCAGCAGAGCGCAGTCACTTACTCTTGCTGAAAAAAGTGCTGAAACTCACTCGCGCCGCGCGCCTCCTGCTTCTCACTGGCGACGAAGGACAAAGGGACCTGAGAACCCTTGTTGAACAAGCAGCCATTTCACACAAGGTCCAAGACCCTGCACCACAGCATGAGATGGCATTGCAAGTATTCCCTGCACCAGCGATCTTCAACCTGCAGAGGGAGGACTGGTACACGTACATGGGTGGATTCCAGATGTTCCTGGAAGCCAACGACTACCAGGACCGGCCGGACAATAGGAAGCGGGCATTATTTCTAACTTACTGAGGAATGAAAATCTATAAGATGGCACAGACTTTAATTGCCCCAGCAGACATAGAGACCGTCGCATGGATAATGCTACAACATGCCCTGGAAGACCACTACGCGCCATCTCCCCCCCACCCCAATGGTGGGCCAGAACGAGTTTTACCACCAGTGCCAATGGGAAGGAGAGAAGATGAACGATTTCATGGTCAGCATGCGAGAAATCGCGACCCGGTGCAAATTCTTCAACCCAGAAGAAATGATGAAGAACTGGATCATCCTAGGAATGAAAGACCTCTTCTTGCAAAAGAAACTGCTAATCAGAATGGAAGTCTCATTCAAGGACGTGGTCGAGGAAGCCCGGGCAGCTGAGTCGTCGGATAACTCGGCAGCGAACGTAGGTTCCGGAGTGCAACGATGAAGGGGACAATACAAATGCCATCCACCATATGTACCCAGAGAGAAGACAAAGCATGAGGGATATAGAGGGCAGGCAACCATGTTGCCCAGGCTGCATGGGATTCCATTCAAGAGCGGTGTGCCATTTCCGGGAAGCCATCTGCCGCAGATGCCAGCAGAAAGGCCATATTGCCAAGGCGTGCAGAGCATCCCAGCCCACCCGGTCGCAGCAAGACCCACGGCTCTGCAGGGGATACCAAACAACCCACGACCCGGCCAACAGCGGAATAGGCGGAGAGAGGAACAGTACCAAGTCCAGAGGGAGATCTATCACACCACTGTGGACCACTCAGATGCCTACGAAGGGGAAAAGTTCCATGCCACAGTGACCATTGAAGGGAGACCATGCAAGATAGAGCTGGACACAGGATCATATTTTACGATTGTGTCCTGGCAGACCATTAAGAAATTGAACCCGACAGCCAGCAAGAACCTCCTCAAACCACCAAACATCCGGCTCAACAACTACTAGGGGAATCGGATCCAAGTCCTAGGAAGAATGGAGGTCAAGGTAGTGTTCCATGAATTCCAGGGCCATCTCCCCCTCACAGTCGTCGCCAATCAGTGACTGCCCCTATGGGAATAGAATGGTTCAAATCCCTGGGGCTATACATCACCGACCTGCGTCGAATCTCAATCCACGACCTGGATCAGCTACTGGCAGAGTTCGTGGACATCTTCGATGTGGGCCTAGGTAAATATATGGGGAAACCCATTTCATTTAACCTAGACCCCCATGTAACCCCCATCAGGCTCAAACCCTGAAGGGTCCCCTTTGCTCTATGGCCCAAGGTGGATGAGCAATTGGACAAACTAATTGTCCAAGGAATCTTCGTGCTGACCAACCATGTGGTATGGGAAAACCCAATAGTCACTCCCGTGAAGCCAGATGGTTCCGTTCACCTCTGCACGGATTACAAGTGTACGCTGAATAAGGCCTTATAGCAAAGTGCATATCAGTGCCAATTGTGCAACATCTGTTGCATTCCCTAGGGGAAAATATTCGTCAAACTGGACCTGGCCCAGACATACCAACAATTGCCTGTGGACAAAGCCACCATGGAAGACGATTGTGACCCATAGGGAGGCTTTCAAATGCACCAAAACTGAATGCAGTATTCCAAGTGTCCTTACCAAGGCATTATAAAGTGGTATTAACACTTCACGTGATCTTGATTCTATCCCTCTGTTTAAGCAGCCTAGATCTGTATTGGCTTTTTGTCAGCTGCTGCACACTGCTCACTCATATTTAAATGGTTGTCCACTAGGACTCCAAGATCCCTTTCACAGTTACTATTGTTGAGCAAGGTACCACCTATACCTTGTACAGGTACCTGTACATTTCGTTTTTGTTGCCTAAATGTAGAACCTTACTCTTTTCACCATTGAATTTCATTTTATTAGATAGTGCCAAATGTTCAAGTTTGTCAAGATCCTTCTGTATCTTTAGCCTATCTTCTGGAGTGTTGGCTATTTCTGCCAGCTTGGTGTCATCTGCAAATTTGATGAGTTCCCCATTTATTCCCTCATCCAAATCATTGATAAAGATTCATCCAAATCATTGATAAAGATGTTGAAGAGTACTGGGCCCAAAACAGAGCCTTGGGATACTCCACTGCATACTTCCCTCCGTGAAGATGCAGTTCCATTCAGGACTACACGTTGAGTGCGGTTGGTCAGCCAGTTACGAATCCATCTGGTGGTGATGCTGTCTAACCCACATTCTTCTACTTTATCTAGTAGTAGGTTATGGTTTACCTTATCAAATGCCTTACTGAAGTCCAAGTAAACTATATCGACGGCATTCCTCTGGTCCACTAATTTTGTCACATTATCAAAGAATGCAATAAGATTAGTCTGGCATGATCTGTTTTGACAAACCCATGTTGGCTTTTGGCTATTGTTTGCTTCTAGGTGTTCGCTAATTCGTTGCTTGATTATCTTTTCCAGAATCTTTCCTGGTATTGAGGAAATTGTTAAATTTAAATAGTTAAATTTACATCTTTTCACATGCTTACTGGGGTTTGGTTGCCCAAACCCTGGGAAGTTTAAAAAACAGTCATTGGCTGGCTGGTCTGCTGGAGCTCCTTAAAAGGCCTAGCCAGCAAAGCGCAGTCACTTACTCTTGCAATAAAAGGTGCTAAAACTCACTTGCACCTCTCGCCTGCTGCTTCTCGCCGATCTAACACCTTTTTGCTGGCAGAGACACTGCAGGCCGTCCCTCACTGTTTCCAGGGCAGTCCCACAGGCTGGATCTAAGCACCCCAAAGGCCAGATCTGGCTCCCAACCTTGAGTTTGACATCTCTTCTTTAAAGTCACTCACTAACAATGTCTCTGGGGTACAACTTTTTCACACTGATATTTATCAAAACAGTGATTGTGAAATAGCTATGCTTCTAGTTAAAAGAGCTTCCACAGATACTTCTTCTCCAGCCAAAGAAAGGGAAGTTGAAAAATCCAATGACTTCTTGATTGTCCTTTCATGGACTTAGAATTCCACCCTGAATTTAGATCCCAATTCTACAGTGGCAATCTTGTTGCCTATTTTGCATGTGACTTACCTGAAAGATAGCCCAACATGAATTCAAATATTTCTAAAGGAAACCCTTTGAAATCACCAAGTGTGGGCATAAATGAAAAATACGTTGGCATGGCATTACTACAGTTTTGTTTTTCATTAGGGGACAAAGTAGAGTTATTTCTTGTAGGAGATGCGCTCTTCTCTCCTTGCATCGTACTGGTAGATGGATCCTGAAGAAAAACAATTACAATTAAAAAGAGGAAAATAAAATCAATAAAACAACAAAAGTAGGCAGGAAAATGACAGAATTATGTTTGGTTGTTGCATAAATACAGCACATATAAATGTTATGTCGATAATGTATAAAATTAACATTTTCATGGGATTCCTGGAAAAAAAATGAAAATCAGATTTAGTACAGAGTTGGATCATTTAGTCTTAAACTTCTCATTTAGAAATCTAAAACTTCAGAGAATTTGAAACAAGAGAAACATTGCTCACAAATCAATACATTCTAATTACTTAATTTGAAGAAATGATGCAAATAATAAGGACACTCTTTCAATTCATAATGATAATCAGTAAAACAGCTGTGCAACAGTTTTTATTTAATCTAAAAAAATGCACTGTGAGAACAAGCATAGCATCTCTTTGCAACACTCTAAAGCAGCTATGCTATCTCTCATGCTGAGATAAAAGATGTGGCTTGCTTGAAGATAGATGTGTTAAAGCACTTTTTGAAAATGCAATTTGAAACATTATCAACTCACAGTAATCTCAGTAATCACTCTTAATTGGAAAAGAATCATTCCAAATATTTTCCCCCAAAAGATTTGATTGAGGAAATATACATTTTATTGATTTATTCAATTTCTATAACTGCCTACTCAATCAAGTGACATTAAGAGACTTACCATTCTGAACCTATAAAACAGGTAAAATAATTAAAAACAATAAACAGCAAAAACATCCCAAAATAAATATGTACAGTAGCCAAGGTAGTTAACTAGCTAACAATAAAGCCAACAAACTGAGCCCTCAATACATTCTAAGCCATAAACTTGGATACAGAGCCAAGTTTTTAAAGCCTTGTGAAAGGTTAACAGAGTTGGGACCATTGAAATCTCTGAGAGGAAAATATTCCGCAAAGAACAGGCTATTTCAGAGAAGCCCATCTTCTAGTTATTATTGTCATATTACTATAGATTTAATCTTGAAATAAACCTAGGTCTGATGTTTATTTATACAAATTTAACCAAATTTTCAGTGTTAAAAAACAAGCCCAAATTGATTTTTTTTTACTCCAAAAAATTAGTGTTATTTTTTGGGGTGGGTGGGTGTGTGATAAAGGTGATAAAGTATACTCCGTAAAAGCTATCAAGAATCCCAACTAATATAGAAATATCCAAGATCTTCAGAGATATTGTTCTTTTGTTTAGTACATGAGAGATGCATGCTTTTGTGTGGTGAGATATATTCTTTCTTTTTTGTTGTATGTAAATTCTCCTCCTTCTTCATCATCATCATTCTGAATCAATTGGATGCAATTTAAACATACATACAACTGTCCACCCCTCTTTGTGTATGAAAGAAAGAGAAAGAGAAAGGGTGGGAGGAGAGAGATTGACTGGGCCACCTACCATTTCAGAGCCAGAGTCAGAATCAGAGTCAGTTGGTTTGGCCTTCCGTTTCTTACCCGATTTCATTCTTTTCATTATTGATACCCCAAAAGTTGCTTAAATATTCATTACCTTGTTAAGATTTAAGAAAGACATAAAAGAATATCATCAATTTCAATGTACAGGAAGTACTGAATTCCAAATCTTCATATATTATCTCCCTGCACTTATATATTGAGGTGAAACCTTGCAGCTCTGTGTTGATTAACTCACATTGCATGAGATAGTCTTTTATCCCCATTTTTGAGGATTTTATCTCTGTTAGATGTAAGAATTGAAGTGTTGTTGAACACTATTCCTCTCTTTGGCTCTCCATATAGACGTTGATGAAGGATATTATAGCAAATATTGAAGATTTATGATAAATTTATTCAGGATAAATCAACAGATGTCACTGTCACATTTAGTTTTTTAAATACTTATTTGAGAAATTAGCTAGTCTTACAATGTATTTTCTATAGTTAAAATTTGGCTATTTTATTGATTCTTAAAAGTGACATTTTATTCCTTTTCTATTTGGTATATATATAATATTAGAACACTATTTTAGTATTATATACTGCCGTTCCAGCTTACAGCACCATCTCAATAATTGGTTTTTGCCTCTCTTAAGTGAGCTTTCTAATTTTAGACTGAATTTAGCATTGTTCACAAACCGTGGGTTATTGTTCAGCCCTACCAAGTAAATTTGGTAGGTAAAATGAGAAAATATTAACATCAACAGATATAATGAAATGTATATAATATACACAAATATTTTAGCATTGTTATAGTTATTTGAATCTTACTTTGGCGGCCCTTCCTCAGGGTGGAATGTGGATCATTAATTTGTATGAGGCAAAATGCATATCTACCAACATGGGGGAGGGGAACATATTGGACTATCTTAATTTAAAATTTTAATAATGTATATTGAACTAATTTACATCCAAATCCATCTACAATATTTTAAATAATCTGGGTTTTCTAACCAGAATTGTAAAAGTTTCATCCTCTGGTAACTTTAGGAACATGAACTTAATTTAATAGAATAAATCAAAATAAAGTGTGATGTCTGCTGTTTCATAGCATGTAAGTCAGAATTCCCAAATATAAAAACTTTAATTCAGAATTAACCAACTATTATGAAGCACTGTAAGAAATAAAACACTTTCAGCAAGATTTTCATTTTAAAAACTTGTCAGTTTTATCATCAATATATTATTTTGTGATCATTTGCAATACAATGGATTATTTACTTCCTCATAGAAATACAAAGAATAAAATATCATTGATATGAAACTCAGAAACTGTTTTCCCATACATGTTAAGTATCCTCTTTTCTTGTAGAATGTTCATTTTGTTTCTATTCCAGAGATGCTCAGAGTAATGGATTTCTTCTTTGAAATCATTTGCACCTCACTTTTCATCTTCAAAGGCTTCCAGAATGTTATGTGTCTAAATACAAAGGTTTTATGAAAAAGAATGGCCTCATACTGAAAATCCTGGGTGTGAATATTCACGCAACTGCGGACATTTATTTACCACAGGAACGCTACTTCTCTTAACAATAATTCATCCGAAATAGTAAAGCGTGCTGTTATTTCTCCTTTATATCGCGTTTTGTAAATTTCCCGCTCCCCGCCCTCCGCCCCGCCTTCATTGAGCCTCGTAGAATTGCACAATCGTTCGGAAATCTCCCGCCCTCCTGTTTGGCTCCTCCCCGCTCATAAATAATAAGAAGGGTCGCCCGGAGGATGATGGCTTGTCGTGCTTTTGAATACTAATAAATAATTCATGAGAAGGCGGTTTGTTCTTCCAGAGGGCGCCAAATGCCTCTTCCGTGCCTGCTTTCCTAAGCGAAGTAGCAGAGGAAGCCCCATCAAATCATGGCGTTCTTGAATTTTGAAGCAGGCGTTTCTTTCTTTCTTCTTAACAACAACAACTTTCCCTTCTTAACAGGGAAATGAAAGTCTTCGTGCTAGGCAACTATCTCTGAAATAGCCTTCCTCAGCCGGCTTTTTCAGATCTGCCGGACCACACAATGCCTATTGCTCAACATATCGGCACCACCCAGAGACGGATTGGTCTTGTCAACTTCAGGCTTCATAACAAGAAACAACTTTCTGCATTTATACTATTGCCTCGACATAATGGAGCATTTTTCAGACCTTTCATGAACACGTGGGTGGAGAATACGGATTGCATTTACTTTTGATCTCGCCTGCTGAATTATCGTGTCTTCTGCTATTCATTTCTAGTATAGAACGGGGTTTTCTGTAGCAGTGCAAGTCAATTGCAAACTATCATGAATTGTGTGTTAAAGACGCATATCCAGATTTTTCCAGACACGCGGAGGTGTCCCCTAAGATCTCTTAAACCCTAAGGTATGACTTGGAGAAATATGATAGGTGTTGAAAAGACTTGTCTACAGTAGTACTGTTTAGCACAGAATCTTTTTGTAAGAGTTAACATTTCCACAATGATTTGTAGATGTCTTTGAAAAACCACTAGAGGTCCCTTCAAACCGAAAATAATTCTGGATTGAGTAAGTCTTAATGGATAGGAATTTGGTTGCCAAATTTAGGCATTATTTTTCTGCAAATGAAAACATTGAAATCAGATGAGGACTGGATGTAACCTTTCAGTCTAAGTTAAAAAAATAACTCAATGATATTTCTTATCCGGTCTTCTAAGAACCCAACAGATGCACAATGTTCTTGACTGGGAGACATTCCAAAATTCTTGATTCTTATTATATTAATATTCTTTTTTGTGGTTGAAAACAACCCAAGAAATCTCCCTCACTAATCTTAGAAAAATACATATAGTGTGAATTTACCTGGAAGCAAAATAAAGACTAAGTTTTTAGGTAAGAACTTATGCTACAATGCCAGACACCAATTGAACTTCCAAGAACTTAACATTATTATTACTATTCTATAATTCTTTTTATTCTAACATAAATGCATACACATAAAAATGTATGCTTGTTATGTAAACAGGTTTCACAGAATCTTTGATTCCGATAAGAATGTCTACAATATTAAATATTAAAACACAAATAAATTTATGGAGGTATATTTGAATTGCTTTTTAAAAGAAATCTGTGTTATATCTTAAAATAATATCATTTATGGAATGTTTCTGGCAGTTATTGATTGAGATTATTATATGCCATGTAGAATCAGACTGAGGTTTGTTGCAACATTTGGAAGATTTTCAGATATTTATTTACTTAATTATTTTGATTATCTCCTTTTTGTGTTTATGTACTTGGTTTATGCTGTTAGGGGAATCTCTTAGCAACTAAGCTGGCCCTTGTAACTCTTGGATATTTTCCTTGCCGATTCTTGTCCTGATTCTTTAGAAGTTTTCAACACAAATCAGAAACATAACACAAATGCTTGTTGAAAAAATCCCTGAATCATAATAAACACACATCTTATATCACAGAAGATGAATGTTTCCCAGGGAAACATGTTATTCAACATTTTGCATGAATACTTATTTTACTGCAGGCTCATTAAGTGGCTATTTACTACAAGAAGAACTCCATTTTCTATGTTTTCATGCAATAAAACTATTGCAATTTCTATATGAAGTATAAAGTATAAAATATGACCTAAACATAATTGCATTATCAGTTTTCAGCTGATAACTGTTCCTCAGTCCTGTATGTTTGCCTGGAGAAATTTTCTCTTGTTCCTCCTTACAGAATAGCTTCAGTTCAGGAATATTAGTAGTTTCCTCATAAGAATTGTCCATTTGAGATTGTTCTAGAACATTTCTATAGGATTATAGAAATGGCTTGGATATTCTAAAAAAATAGTGCGCTTCTGCTTTAAATATTTTTTTAGCTGTGGAACTGCAGGGTCTATTTTCTCTTGAACTTCAGTTCCTGCTTGATACCCTAACATCTCCCTGCACAATTTGCTGAATTAATCCAGGATGGCAAGCCATCTTGGTCTAACAAAACAGGCTCAAAACATGATACTGCCATCACTATGCTTTGCAAATGGGATAAAGTTCTTAAACTGGAATGTAGCATTTGCTTTTTGCCAAACTTAATCCTTTTCATACAAGATAAAAAGTTTATTTTTTAAAGAGAGAGAGAGAGATTAACAGTTGGAAGATGACCTTATAGGTCATCTAGTCCAACAACCCCCCCCTCAAGCAGGAGACCCTACACCATTTCTGACAAATGGCAGTCCAATCTGTTGTTGAAAGTCTCAAGTGATGAAGTTCCCACAACTTCCAAGGGCCAGCTGTTCCATTGGTTGATTACTCTCACTGTCAGAAATTTCCTCCTTATTTCTAGGTTGAATCTCTCCTTGGTCAGTTTCCATCCATTATTCCTTGTCTGGCCTTCAGGTGCTTTGAAAAATAGCTTGAAAAATAGCTCCTCTCTGTGGCAGCCCCTCAAATATTGGAACACTGATTTCATGTCTCCCTGGTCCTTCTCTTCACTAGACTAGCTCATCTCTCCACTAAACATTATTCCAATTGTACTCTGGCTTATCCACATTTTGCTCACTATAGAATGACAGCGACATTATTTGGAGAATACTGACTTTCTCCTCGCAATTCTGCCATGGACACCATAGTTCAATGTTCTTCTGATGATGATCTCATGAATATAGGCCCTTCCCAACCCAAGAGAAGCCTTAGGCATTACCCTGGGATTCTTTGAGACATCTGAATTATTAAACAATTTTGTTTGAGTGTGATCTTGACTGGTTGACCACTCCTGTGAAGGTAACAATGGTGTTGAATTGCCTTTTTGTACCTAATGTGCCTGATAGTGGACTGCTGGTATCCAAACTCTTTGGAAATAATTTGTAATCTTTTCAATCCTAGTCAGCATCAACAATTGTTTTTGGAAGTCCTGAGAAATCTTCTTGGTTCAAGCCATTGCCCATTTTCACATATCTGTGTTGTTAACAGCAAATATCCAACATTCTATTTTACATAGTATCTCCCACACTCACATTACTGTATATTACATACAGTATATTATAAAAATACTATATATGTTGAACTCTACTTCATAGTAATTTAACTATACTTTCCCCTCAACATTTCACAATGCTGACAATTTTCTGTTGCAATATGTTGCCAACTCCCTAGCTATTATTGAAAACCAATTTTTAATATTTTCATTTCACCTCTACAATGTTTTTTTGTCTGTATGTGGGCATTTTTTTTCCTGTTAGCCCTGATGAAATAGCATCTTGCAGCATCCTGTCAGGAGAAATACTT